GAGCCCCCGCCGCTTCCGCTTCCCCGCCTTTCGTGAGTGCGCGCGCCCCGTGCCGACGCCCGCTGTCGCGCACGCCAGCGCCAGATGTGGTTGAGGGAGGGGGGAGGGCGTGAGTGGACCAGGCGCAAGGACGTGGACGGCGCCTTCGGCCGAGGAGTCCAGGACAATGGTGCCCGGGATGGGAACCTGGTGGAATGGGGCGGACCCCTTCGCAATGCGAAGCTCGCGTGAAAAATGCATTCCCTGAACTCGGCGTGGACCGCGCGGAAAACGTACAGGACCGACACCACGAAAAGCCGCCAGCCAGCCTGTGAGCACGAAGCGCCACTGAACACTTCAGGAACTGCGAGCGTGTAGGCAGAGAATCACCAGCGCGCCACTGCGAAGTATCAGAAGTAAGCACGTGCTGTGAATCGTACCCATAGTGTGCGTTCGCGCCATCTCAAGCGTAGCGATAACTCGAAGCGACACAGCATTGACCTTATAACTAGCAATCGCAACACCACCATACATGTGCTACATCCAGAGGACCGCGCCGCCCATAGGAGCACCAGGACACCAGCTGAATCTTGACCCTCCGAAGTGTAACCGCTGCCCCAACCCACCAATAGGATGAAGAAGGGGACCAGGTGCGCCCTAGCGACGGGATGGTTGGTAATGACACGTGAGCTCCGGGGTGCTGCCCCAACCCGCCGCCAGGGACAGAGGTGAGGAGGCGGAGGAGAGATGAGGAGGGAGTCGGAGGCAGGACGGAGGGGGAAGTGGGGAGATGGAGGGGGAGTTGGGGGGGAGTGGACGGGATGAAGGGGATGGAAGGAGGGAGGGACCTGTCGAGTGGGAAGATGTGCTTGTGCAATCTTACGGCGAGGGGTAGCACCTAACAAATCAGTAGCCACGTGGGCGCACCTGGGCCTGTTCTCGTCATGGTTTTGGTGTCTTCGTGCTTCTGCCACGTGCATGGTCAGACACGGGCAGCGGCGAACATGAAATAACATAGAGCTGAAGAAGGTGTACTTGCGTATAGTGTGGCTTCCGTGCGTGTGTAATACACGCTGTTGAGCATGTGCGCTCTTCTCGCCGCCTTACGGTGTGAACCGTTGAAGCTCCTTAGATCTTCGCTTCACCCCCCGAGCGCAAGCCGCATCAGAGGATGTCAGTCTCGGCTGGGTGAGCCAGCGGCCCAGCAGATGCACACAGCGTGCAGTGCACGCAGGGTTCCTGCACGTGCGCAGCTGCTGAGTTGAGGGCGCGATAGCGGCGCTGTCAGTTGCTAGGGCGCGCCCGCCGACTTTTTTCTAGGGGGTGGCACAACAAACGGTAGTGCTGCTGGCCCGGCCTCTCCCCGCCCGCCCCTGTTGTTCCTTCGCTCGTCAGCTTCGGCGCAGTCAAGGTCCCCGTGCGGTGCGCTCTGGCTCTCATCCACTCGGCCAGATTCCCAGCGCGAAGCAGACACGAGGCGTGTAGATGCGGTTCAGTGCTGAGCTTTCGTCGCCCATCCTATGGACTCAGGCTCTGCAGAAGACCAGCTCGATGCACGCTGCCTTGCGTGCCAGCGCGCGCGAAAGCGTCGTCCAACTCCCCTTCTGAAGGTGCCGTGGAACGGGAGCGTGGACGCCAGCCTGAAGGTCACCATCACGCCCGGCAGCGGTGCCCAAGCGCTGTTCTATTCGGTGCTGCCCTGCCAGGGGGGGCGCGGCATGAGCATGGGGTCAAGGACACCGACGATGACGAGGACGAGGACCACGACGATTAGATGTTGCCAGAGGTGTCCCTGGCCCAGGGTGCCCCCAGGACGTCCAGTGAGGCCCCACGGCCTCCCTCCAGAGTGTTCCTCACGAGGTCCCGGAATACCCCAGGCGGTCCAAGGTGGGGCAAAGTGCGAGATACACCCTGGGCCAGGAACACCTTCGGCAAAAGAACAAGTCGACTACGACGACGAGGGGCGCGTCGAAGAGGGAGGAGGAGGGAGGAGGGGAGGAAGCGGAGGAGGATGAGGAGCGATTTGAGAGGGGAGGACGAGGACGAAGGACGGAGGAGGGAGGATGAGGAATGGAGGGGGTACGGTGAAGGATCGCGATGATGATGCTGCTGATGATGATGATGATGCTGATGCTGATGCTGATGCTGCTGATGATGATGATGATGGTGATGATGATTATGCTGATGATGATGATGCTGATGATGATGATGATGATGGTGGTGGTGGTGGTGCTGACGATGACGACGACGATGATGATGATGATGATGATCATGATGTTGATGATGATGATGATGATGATGATGATGATGATGGTGGTGGTGGTGGTGCTGACGATGATGATGCTGATGCTGATGCTGGGATGGTGATGATGATGAGGATGCTGATAACGATGGTGATGCCGATACGGATGATGATGATGCTGATGCTGATGCCGTTCAGGGTGACGATTTCGGTGACGATGTGGCATCGGATGCTGATGATGCTGCTGATGATGATGATGACAGTGATCATGATGCTGAT